TGATTATAAAGTATAGCCGCATACCGAAATGTTAATGTCAGCAGGGGGAGCGAATATTTAGATTTGCCAGGTTGGTCACGACATGAGGTTTTCAGTTCATATCACAATAGGTATTGACTCGATAGCTCTCCCGTTTCTGAGAATTAACTGGAGTTTCTGATGCAGATATATATCAGGCTCTCCGCCATTTGGTAGTCCCTAATAAACTTCTGCTTCAACGATCATTTGGCTCAAGTACGCAACTTTTACAGCTCATCTCCAATATGTCTGTCTGGATGAAAACCGCCACCACCAACATAGAGTTCCACTTTAAACCCTTACAAGCCATAAATGTTTCAGAACCACTCCAGAACATGAGATTTTCTCTTACAGAGACCTTGCGGTCCGAGCTTACACCACCTCGCCTCGTTAACTATTTAGAAGTCGATCTTGCTGCATCCTATAGCGAGTGGGAGGATCTCGAGAATGAGGCAGTATCAAAACACAACATAAAGATGCAAGCAAATCACGAGACTCAGGAAAGCGAGACCTACCGCGAGATTGGTATTCGGACAAGAAAACTCACGATTTTGAAGAGAGATGCAAAAGATATAAAAAGACCTCGAGCCGTTCGCCGATGAGCTAGTCAGGAAGCCTTGGAACAGAGTCATCGAAAAGGTTGTCGACCATCTATGGGCTATGGAATGAGAGTCGAGATACATCTCAGAATCGTCAAAATTAGAGCATGAAAAGACCGCCGCCCAAGACCAAGGCACGAAACACAACAAAACTCCCAGCACCCTGAAGAAACAGAGAACTCCAGAAAAGAGCTCGATCTGTGATTCGGGATATGCTTCCAAAAGTGGCGTGTAGACTTTGGAAGTTTGACAGCTAAGACAACGCAGATTGGATATCTCTCTGATCATGGAATCTGGTACAACTAAAAGTGTTTATCCTTAGTCATCGCGTTAGATCCATCGGAAATATCCTAGTTGTCTACTTACGGACACACTTGGAGCGTGACTACACTCCCCTCGCTTGTTATGTAAACCGCTCCAGAGCAAGTCCATACACAATTATCTACAAGATATGGCACTACCTCGAAAAGCCTTACGACCTGTTGTTTAAACTTCCATCGGACTGGAATGATAAAAACCCTGCTCTTCTAAGCATTTTCGTCGACTTAAACAAGGGTGGAGAAGCACGGCAGTCAGCCTGCAGACTGATGGAACTTGAAGAACTTTGGTAAGCCCAGCGCAGATGACAAGTTCGTGTAGCAGAAGCCAGACATCGATACTGTTCAGTGATGCCAATGCTTGACCCACGGCCGTTTGGAGACACTCCCTGAAAACCCGAGCTCTTGGTTACCTACATGACCTGCCGGCTAAATGCTAAATGCTGAGGTTATACAGCAGAACTTGGGTCCCTGAAGCATGACATACATTTAAACTCTACTCCCTCGCTGGTCAAGATGCATCGTTGTGGTTCTGAAATATACACTACCTGATCTTCAGCAAATATGGTGCTGTCAGTAGCGACTCAAACTGAGGCGGCAGACCAAGTCACACAGCTTGTCAAGGAGGATAAAGTCATCTGAAACAAGAAGAAGAATCTGAAAAGTTCATATTTCGTCTTGTTTCCAACATGCATGGGGATCGAGATTACCTCAGGCTTTGACTCCCAGCTCACCAACAGTCTTCAAGGCGTGGAGCCATGGGTCAAGTGTAAGTCGCTCCGATCTTGATCCTCAAATAGAAACTGAGTTTGGCGGATTTCGGCAACTGTGTGATCGAGCTTCAGAACGGAACATCGAAAGAAACCTGCGCCCTGACAGCATCAATGACCGGTATGGTGGCAGCTTCGTACATTTTGGGAGCCATATGTGCATTTCCATTCATTCCAGCTTTCAACGATCGGTTCGGCCATCGCTGGTCTATCATGTTTGGATCAATGGTATCTGTTCTTGGCGTAATCATCCAAGGACTTTCCGTACACGGTACTTGATCTGAACTTCGGAGCCGAGTAACGCTAATGATGATGTAGTTGGCATGTACATCATCGCTCGAATGCTTCTAGGATTTGGCATTCCGTTTTGTATCATAGCTGGATCCACTATGCTTGGTGAAATGGGATATTCAAAGGAAAGACCAATTCGCACTTCGCTTTTCAACGCGAGTTACTTCATAGACTCTATCTCAGCTGCTGCTATCACCATGGCTACCAACTACATATTGTCGGACTGGTCTTGGCGAATCCCGCCGTACTTGCAAATGGCTCCCTCTCTCATCCAAATCTCTCTAGTGATGTGAGTTTGCAGCTCCTACTTGTTGACGTAGCTGGCCGTACAGGTTACTTCCAGAGAGTCCGAGATATCTAATTAGTAAGGACTGCCGGGAAGAGGCTTTCGATATTTTGAGCAAGTACCATGTCGAAGGCGATCGAAATAATCTCATAGTCATAGCCGAGATGGCCCAGATCGAGACAACTATTACATTAGAGTTAGAAGCCGCAAATATGACATGGATTGATCTGATCAAGACCGCTGGCATGCGAAAGTGAGCATTTTTAGCCATGATGATTGGGCTCCTCAGTCAGTGGCCTGGGAATACCCTGATATCGTACTACTTCTTCACCATCCGGGCAACTCTCGGGGTTGCCGATGCTAAAGTAAAACAGGGTATCAATTTAGGCAAGGAGGCGTGGTTCCTTATCAACGCCATCACAATCGCGATGATCGTCACCAGGTTCAAACGCAGCAAGATGTACCTCCTCTGTACCTCTTGCATGTTGGCCGTGTATTTCAGCTGGACGATCTGTCAAGGTATCTACGTTGAGGCTGAGAAGGAGCACAAGCTGAACCCAACATTGCCACTGAACAAGGTAGCCGGAAACATGGCCATCTTCTTCATCTTCCTCTATTAGCCGGCTTACAACATTGGCTTCAACTCTCTGACATACACTTACCTAATCGGGCTCTTCTCCTACGCTGAACGCACGCGTGGTCTGGCATTTTTCCAGTTCTTCGGACAAGGTGCCACTTTCTTCGCTACCTTCGTCAATCCCATCAGACTCGCCAATATCAGCTGGAGATGGTTGATCGTGTACTGTGCCTGGGTAGAATTTGAGATTGTCGTGATCTATTTCTTCTTTCCACAGACTTACAATCGTACCCTGGAGGAGTTGTCTTTCTGTAAGTATCTGCAAATTTCAGGTTCTGTATCTGATACTGACATTGCACAGTGTTCGAGGGACAAGACATGGCCAACAAGCAAGTGGTTGCGGTTGAGAAGCAGATTCACTCTGATCTACGCGAGATGCAGCATGAAGGAGCGGAACATGTAGAGCCAGGGGTGAAGAAGTCAAGACTTAGGTAGGACTTACTCGCTGTCATTGCGAGTTTAGCAGGACTCATCTGTGTGCGTGTATTATGAGAGTAGAGCTGCTGGGAACTTTGATGAAAATATAATGACAGTTCAATCTTTTGTAGTTGTTGATGAGGAGATACCATTGAAGCGACTGCCATACACTACTTCTGTAGCCCATACTTATCTCATTAAAGAACAGTTCATGGGGATGGCAATTGTTTCTACGCTGCTGTGTAGCCATCAGCAAGGTGTCTCAGCCTCACATGTTCAGCCAAGCCACTCTTACCGAATGCCATCTAGTTGATGGTGAACGTTCCACACCAGACCGAGCATCGACCTGGCAAATTCGAAATATGGAGCCAACGAGCCGTACTGGAAAACATTCCGCTAAGATCACCAACGTCTACCAGCACTAGCCAGCCATCATCAAACACGAAGGGACCACCCAGTACTTTCGATAGAAAGATCGTTGATGAAAAAATCACAAACACGCTCGAGGCCACTAAACCATCGCTTCAAAATGCGGCAGCAGCAAACTCTAAGCTCGATTTCTTTTGTGACTCGGCTATGCAGCTCGATAGTATCATTCTCGCCATCATATTCGGGGATTTCTCGATCCTTGCGTACAAGCAGTCCGTTGCAGCACACAAGGACGCCATGCAGACCAGCATATTATCGCTGCTTGCTATATGCCTGGCTGCGCTAGTGAGGGAGCTTCGTCGTGCTTTGTAAGAGACGCCTGACATGATATAGAATGCTGATCATTCCTTTGTTGGGCAAAACACTACCCGATTCTGTTAGAGCTGTGTAGGACGATAGTTATGTAACGTTCTGGGACTACGGTGGCATTCGGGCTGGGGATACTCAACTGATATTCTCGATTGAAGTAACGTAGGAATTGAAGGGTTGAATCACGTGGAAGCGATTCTGTTACAAGCCGGGGAAACTGCGGGGTAACAAAGCTATGGTAATTTGAGCACGAGCTCCTAACTAAGGAAATACGTCGACTATATAGATTCCTCCCAACTGGGAGCTTGGTGGCTCTCGAGGGAGACCGAGGTTCCTGCAAGCTCCAAAATCACGTGATTATATCTGCTGTACTTCTATGGATCTCTCCCATACGAGGCTCTCTTATACAATCCCGTCCGGTAATACATACTAGAAGTAAATACCTTGCTAAGGTTCTACTGTGATAAGCACTGGACCTATGGTCCTTGGTAACGTATTCTCCTGATGTCGTGACAATTTGGCCTACCATCATCGCCATCTGCTCCATCCTCGCCATTTAACAAGACTGAAACAATAATCGCAATCGCTATAAATGCGCCCTCGGTTGCAATCGCCACCGTCGGTTTTTCCTACACATTTTGGCAGTGCTACAGCTAAAGATTTCGACGCCAATAAGCCGCTATTATTGTGCTCTGGTCTCAAAGACGAGGAACCAGGCCATTGAACAGGTAGTTTCAGATGGTTTCTTATACAGAAAGAACAAAAGGGGTGATATGCCCATGGACTTCGATTTAGACAATGCATGCCTTCATGTACGGACATTTGTCAGAATACCACGTGGTTAAAAAAAAATTTACCCCGAAACGAAGTGAACAGAGAAACTGCATTGCAGATCAGCTCTACAAAAGATAAAGCGACAATATGTGATGACCCCCGCAGGACTCGAACCTGCAATCCCCTGGTTCGAAGCCAGATGCCCTAACCATTGGGCCAGGAGGCCAACGTAGTCGTATCAGAATATGACATAGACGCCAAATTTGAATTAATATGTACTCGTTTTTTTTTCCAAAGCTTTTACCCCTACCGTATGTACTGCGATACTTAAATCTACGTTCAAAACACGTAACTGAAAACACGACATTAAATTCCAAACCATGTCTCGTTTTTATGCAGGCTTGGGCCTGACTATGATGATGATGATGATAATTCCATTAGAGTGCTGTATCAGCCAAAGGCTGTGTAACACTTTTGGTCTTCTTGCCTAGGCCAGATACCTATTCCTCGGATAGTATATCTTCCTATTCTATATCCCTTCTAGTTTACTCCATAAAGTAGAATATTCTCTATAAATATCCATTTGGCCTAGCACTTAAAGTACGCATATTAACCCGTTTACGTACTACCAACCAACCAAACGTTGACTTTAAGTGTGCTGTCTCGTAGGGATAGTTTGAAACCCAAGCTGGTACAAGAGATAGAGCGAGAGCCCAAGCACCGAAGTACACAACCAAAGGGCGTAGCTCCCAATATCTCTTAATTCAGCTCCGGGGCGACGAGTTCTTTTTATATTCCTTTATGTAGTACCACCAACCAATATATCCTCCTCTTGTTCATTCCTCGGCGCCTCGGGTTCGAGGTCAGGGTCTGCCAGAATATATTGTAACTGAATTGTCGAGACGAAAAGGTCTAGTCGAGTCCGATAGCCAGGTCCAATATCGCAACGAGTAAGATGAATCGCCGGAAGCTCATCAAGAGGAGCCCTTCGTATCCAGCGTGGCTAAGGTGCGATTATGTAGAGTAGAGAGCGATACGCCGACCGTATCGAAGATACCGGAGGTTTTGGAAAGGGAAGTGAAGTTGTTGACATCGTCGCAAAGGAGAGCAGTGTAGTAGGGATCCGCATCTACTGACTCGTAAAAATTGGCATGAGATATTGCTATTAAATCGATATCCGCTGTATCCTCCTCATCCTATATGTTCGTAGTCGTGCGTAGCGCCAAGAGTTGGGCGAAAACTCTGATGCAGAGGCGGTTTCGTTCAAAATGACGACATTTGGTCGGACGAGTACAGCTACTGTACACCAGGGTTTATCGAGCTGTAAAACGAAGTCGCAGATGTTGCCGAACGGTGAAAGAGGGTTGACTTGCTGGCGTGAAAGCGCGAGTTCGTTATCGTTGCGAGAGCTCCAACTTAGCTATCCTACATCTCGGAGAGAGTAGGCGTTTACAGCTGGCACCAACGTGAAGGTGGGAGTTCGACTTTGCCAGCCGGGCCTGACTATGAATATGGGTAACCAGCCTAGTCTATTACTACGCCAGTTTGTCACAGTACTAGTCCCTTCGAGAGCTGGGATTATAACATCGTGAGCTTCCATGTGCCTTCGTCTTTTGTCCAGCAGCTCCATGATTCTGCTGATATGTTTCTCACACAACTGGACTATCTAACTGTTTGCCAGAACTCAGGAGCTAAGAAGCTATGTGTTTGGAGCTGTTCTTCCACCGCACCGCACAGCATCGCAGGATTCAGAGGCAAACTGTTAGGAAAGCGGAGCAACTTCTTAGCCCTGATTTGACAACCACCACACTGCAACATAACATCAGGCAGTGCAATGAAATGTTTTTTGATTTTGCCTGCATCTGCATATGTATCTGCATCTGCCTGGCACAAAAATATTTCAAGTGTCACCACACATGTCAGCGGTACGACTGCGTCACTTCGATTCTGACTGACCCAGGCCCTGCCATCAGTCACCGCAGGGAGCCGCTGAACAAGTCGAATCAAATCTCGCCCTAGGCAGATTGCATTGAAGGTCACCTCTTTGCCATCTTGTGCTCACCTTCTATTGGAAGTGACTCACTCTCGAGCAACAGAGATACCGGGAAAATGTATATCCTTGCATAAGCAATAGTTATAATCCTTGCGTAGTCATATTCTGCTTATATTAAGTATAAGAGGAGCGGAGTCGCTCACTTCATCCCCCCCTTATCGCTCCATCATGGCAATTGTCACAGACGGAGCAACCCTTTTCTCAAAAGGCCATCTCAAACCTCTTGTCGAATCTGCCTCGCTTGAGGGTATATTATGCGTTGTTCATGCACCTAGTTCGCACACACCCAATCACATCACCGAGTCGCTTCTACTCTATTCTTCGATAGGGATAGGATGGGGCCAGTTTTGGAAGCCAGTGGATGCGCACAATGGATAGAAACACAAGTCGAAGGCTTGGATCAAGATCGGCATCATGACCGGAGATGCGAAGCAAGTGCGGCGGCATCCAGATGAACTGGACTACCCTCTCTTCTATACTCAAGTCTGGCTTAGCAATGCGGTTCTTGGCATTCCTCGTTCGTGTTCCCCGACAAAGATGATGGCCTTGCTTTCGAGGAGCAAACTTTCTTGGTCAGAGGTGTTGAAAACGTACCGTAAGTTACTCTCGTTTCTGCGCTCCATAGATCCCCAGATCACCCTACCCCCACCAATCTTCCTTCACTCTTTCGACCACCACAAATTCCAAGCACTTTTCCACAACCCTCCTCCTCAGCGTAACGCTCAGCAACCTTATCGGTCGTCAGTTATTTCGCATGCATTCGATTGATCTGTGCTTCTAGGTACGTCCTGGTCTTCCCTCTTAACCATAAGCCCAATACTGATCTGCTGCCTAGCGAGCTCAACATGACTACCCAAATGATCACCCAAGTGACCGGATCCCAAGGCATTGCTGCCTCCACGGCATCAGAAGCCATGAGCAACTCTACATGGGCGTTCAATGGCAACACCGACTACAACAGCAGCTTTGCGGTGGAAATCAACGTCATGGCCTGCAGCGAAGCGCACCTCACCGTCCCTAGTCCTCTGCCAAAATTCGAGAAGAAAGACACCCTCGTTCTTCGACGTAATGACAGCGGATTCTCGCTGCAGGCGGCCCAACATTCAGATACGGAGGCTTCACTCTTAGTCAACCACAGCTCCGCATACGATCAATCGCCGGCGGATTACCAGCATCTGGCAACCCCGCGCTTCGGAGGCGAGCTGGAAGGACCGACGATGCTGGAATCATGGGCGAATGTCGAGGAGCGTCACGAGCTGCTGACCTACCAAGGAGTCCGACCATCAGCATCAGCAAAGAAACGTAAAGCCGTTCTCAACCCAACGTCAAAACAGCAAAGAAAAGCCAGCGGACCTCATGAGTCATATGGAGCAGGCGCAAAAGTATGCGATACATGATATATACGTGGACACGGAAAAACAGTCCTGGGTTGGCATTGCAGCGGGGTTTATGGCGTTGTGCAAGGTTAGGCATGGAGTTTTACTGCGACGGTGGATATTGGCCTTATGAGGCTATGAATCTATAGGTTATTAATGGGCGGTATGAGTAGTGGGGGACGGGAGGAATGAAATCATACCTTAGGACGTACTGCGGTCGTATTTGTGCCTCTGATCAATTGAAACTCTCAAGTTCATACACATGTTTTCGAATACCTTCTGCCAGGTGATGTTATATCTCGTACATCTGCTTCCGAAAGCAAACCTATCGAACAAAGTCCCCTAAATCCATCCCCGAACTCGATACATCAGCATCCTCATGCGATCAGAAATACCCAAGCCCATATCCTCTCCACAGATATGGAGCAGAACCCTACCTCAATAACCTTTCAAGCAAATACTTATTAACATGGATATAATAAAGAATGGTGCTATGTTGTTCGGCATTCAATTGGGTGCTTTTTGTTTCGCTTCCTGCCATACGGTTGGTGGTGGTGGGTTTTGTCGTCCGTCGCAGGTTTCAACAGTTCAGTGATTAAGTACAGGAGTTCAAACGACGATCTTAACCCTATCACTTCACCAGCTCGGTGCTGGAGAGCCGTCATTCAGGGAGTTGTCTGATATTCGGATACGTACATATACGTTAGGGATCTTCCCGGTACGAAACCACGATCGATTCAAAGACATGCAACAAACAGCCCTTATCGCGTGGCAGCCACGGGAGAATTCCAGGCAAGACAAGACAGAACGTAATAACTAAGCCACGCAGGACAAAGACAAAAACCGCTCTCACCCACTCGAGGACCGAAATTCCGTTCAGGAAAGCAAAGCTCCTAAATATGACGATACCCAGGGCTCTTGAGACCGAAAATCAGCAGATTCGTGCGATATGCAACAAACAACATCCATCTCCGGGCCCTTCATTGCTTTGCTTCCAGGACCGAAAATCCTAAAATGAAAAAGGCTCGTTTCTTGCGACATGCAACAAAACGAAATAATATGTTGGCGTAACGTGATTGGTCAGTTGTCAGTTCGTTTCGGATTCTTATTCGTGGAGGCTTACTTGTAGAATATTTATCTTTGTGAGTAGAGTTCAGGTATAAAAATATATGACTGTTTGGCTTATTAACAGGCTAATTGACGGGGTAGAAGCAACGACCGATCTGAGGTTGTTAAGTGCCTCAACTTGTGGAGGTGGATGTCACGATTCAGTTATCGCGTTACCAGGGACCTTAGGCTCAGTAGCAATGCTACAGTGAAACCCTGTGGAAAGCATTTTGTATATACTACTGATCGGTTACCTACAGGAGGAAGCGAACCAGATGATTGACAGCGTGGCCAATGTCACGTGACTATTAGCAGGGCCAGCACAGGAAACTCTCTTAGTACAGAGTCTTTATAGTTTCCTTGGATAGGAGCTTCGTGCTCAGATTACCATAGCTTTTTTACCTCACAGTTTACCCAGCTTGTAACGGAATCGCTTCCACGTGATTTAACCCTTCAATTCCTTGGTTACTTCAATCGAGAATATCAGTTGAGTATTCCCAACCCGAATGCCAACCGCAACCCCAGAACATTACAGTGGAATGCGATTTCCTACAAAAAGGGGCACGTCATATGCTAATCCCATGCATATCTAGTGAGCCTATTAATGAAGGAGCAATACATAGCACAACGCGCACGAGCTGCCTACATTAAAGACTGACTTGAACTCCAATTTAGTGAAGTATTTAGCTC